ATTGTGGAGCATAGGTACAATAATGGGGTGTTACATCAGTGCATACAGTTCAGCTATGGCCTATAAATTTAATATTATTATAAATGTCAATTAAGTTTATTTCCATATCTATTTATTCACTTCATATAACTTGTCAATACGAAGTCTATGTCACAATATTATATACAATATAAACAAAAAAATGTCAAGTGTTACTCAAAACGTCATTGTTAAATTTTATCAGATAAAAAAAAACCATGTGTCATAGCATTTGTCAACTAAGAAATTCTTTAATATATGCTTGAAACTGAGTACATTCTCATTACTTCTTATTGGACCAGGAATTTTATTATATATACGCAAAGGGTGTTACAGAACACACTCTGATTCATAAGTGCAGTATTCGAAGGAACCATGCGGAATTTATTCCTATGGCGTGCACTAGATAAGACCTTAAACATATCTGTGTTAATTTTAACAACTAGGGCGTAATCCAGAATCTACAATCACGGAAGTGTGAATATCCTATAGTTTTTAAAATACGGTTTGCACGAGTCGGTCATGCATAAATTAAACGTCGACCTAATACAACGTTTTTGCATTTAAAAACGAACTAAAACTCCATATCTTAGGATAGATCCAACGTACCCATTATAAGCAAACAGTACAGCATCTGAATACACAACTTTACTTAATTGGTACATCCCATAAGAATGACTAGACAACTTATTACATAGCTGTTCAATATGGCTTTTCCATTTTAAGTCACTAATATATAAACCTAGAAATTTGTTTGTACATATTTAATGTATATTATAATCTGTCTAATTTTTTATAGATAATGGTATGGATCCCTTCGTCCGTAAGTCAGACTTGCACTTGACCGGTTTTTTTAGTATTTGAAAGGGAAATCATATCAAACCCATGCATTTTAATAGATAACCGTTACACAATAATAACAAAATCACAGTAATAAATGTGCATTTTTATTAAGCCAGTTATTTACGTAACTAGTTTCTTAATGCCCATTAAACACTGCTATGAGTTGTGATTTGGTTGTGATAATATTTTTAAACTCATGAATAATATTGTCTCATCGTTTTTTTATTAATATTAACGTAGACAAGTTTCAATCTTAAAAGAGATTTTATTTTGCGATATCTGAAGAAAAATAAAAAAGTTATGGTAAGGCTGATCGAAATTGTGATACAAAATGAGGTGAAATAAAGAGAATTAAAGTGCCCCACAGCTTAACCCGTGTTAATTTGAGAAAAAACCTAAAAACAATAGAAAATAAAGCAATCTACCATGAGTTTTAAAAATAGAATGCGTATTACAGTGACCATTGTCACAGCAGATCCTGAAATTCGGCACACATAGTTTTTAACCTGGATTGAGAAAAAAATATACTTTTTATCCCGAAAGTTAGTTTCCTGAGGAATTCTCAAAAAACTTAAGTTAGAGGCAGACTAAGTACATAATATTGTATCATGTAGTCGAGTCTGATCCGCACTTGGCCGATTTTATAGTGATCATAGTAACACTGCAATACGCGCCTCATTCAATATTCCCACACTATTAACTCACATGTTAGCAGGTCGTTGGCTTTGAAGAACAGAGAAACTATGCAAGTTATCTACCTTAGCGTCTGAAAAAAGATATGGAAAAGTTATATTTTTGACGTGACAACGTCTTAAATTAGGTTGCGGCTGGGAGTCACTTATGAAAAAGTGTAACGCTCGGTAACGTTACGATGAGTCTCTCGTGTTAAGTTTAAGTTTACATGTACAATGTTTTAGTAAACAAAATATATTTCTATAGTTAAAACTTGTGCAATTCTTATTTTCATTCAATTCCTTGTTCCTATTGTGCAATTTAATTATATTCATATCAATAAATATTCTACCGAGAAAAAGACGTTGTCACGTAAAATCTTCGCCCGTAAAACCGACTTTACAGGCAACCATTTTTTTTTGTTTTGTTGACCTTTACGAACCTTCAAAACATGTTCGTCACGCGGAAGAACATAAAAAAATATGTTACATGTATGTATCGCCTTGAATATTACACAGTAAAAAAATATGAATATAAAAACGACTTATAAAAAGTTGATTTGTTGATTTTTATTTTACTATGACCTTATGCATATCATGAAATGTTACCTATATTCTCTGAATTGTGTACACAGCTTGAATTTTAAAAGCTTTAAATGCGAGTGTTTTTATTATTATTAGTTTAGATTATGCGTGAATCAACCCACGCTGTTGCAATATGTATGTTCGTGGTACCCAATATTTCTTGTCAGTCTTTCTGTCTTTTTTGGGGACAAATTTTTGAACCAGTATTTTATAAATGATATTAATGTTTTCGAGGGTGCTAAATCCGAACATGAGGTCAGAATTTAATTTCGACTATGGCGCTTTGACCAAAAATTTTGGAATCACAATATTTGTAATCGCACTGGCAACCTAAGTTTCTAGATTTGCGCACGTGTGACTTCTTCAGCCTATTAAAAAAAAAGAAATATCCGATGCATAAATTTAATGGGTGGTTGGTTGTTTTCATTCTCCTCCTGTCCTCTTCCCATTGGACGCCACTTGGAGTGGACGTGAGTGTATAAATAAGTATACATTTTTTTTTAAGTTCTGAAAGTTTTCGGTGCCTGAGGATTGAACCCCGCTGTGAGGCTCACACATACATACGTTTAGTGTGTGCAAACTGTGAGTGAGTGAGCCTGTGCATTTTGCGCCGAAGCCACAATTGCTTAGCACACTGTGCTAAAATTAGCAGCCGCTTTTGATCATTTTAACGTGCTACAATCTCTGCCAGTGTATATGAAGATTACGATCACTACCAGAATTACGGAACGCTCAAATGCTGACGCCACTACGGAGCATATTATTGAATTCACGAAGAATTAACAAAACAACACGTACACTTTCATATACGATTTGAACAACCACAAACCAAAAATATTATCACTAAGTAAATAAATGTCCATAAAGGATCGACTCAGTAAGTACATCATCATTATTCCATCACAAAGTGTACGAGATTTCAATTTACCTCCTATCATGTATGGAGACTGCTAAATCTCCAACATTAGAGTCCTCATACGTTTGGCAACCCTGCACGGCGCAACGCCCGTTAGAGCACAGGCCGTCGGACAGCACCTTAAGGCTCCTTAGTTGCACAGCACAAAGCGGAAATCGTAAACTTATTTATAGCTAATACTTCGAGGTATGTCCGAACAGCGTCTGGGTCTGGGCACTCGCGCTTATAGACTTGCGGCATGGTTCATAAAAATAAATTTACAAGGTACCTGTTTTACACAACTGACAATGTTTTACGTAACGTACGTTGACAATAAGTAATTTTCAACGGAATTTAAATGAAGTTTGGACTTATTCGACTGTAATTGTTTTAAATATATCAATTTTTTAAAGGTATAAACAACGACGCTCCATATTATAGGATACATGAAAAGAAACGTAATTATCTGCCTTCTAATTTTTTTTTTATTTATTTATTTACCATTTAAACATATAACACAAACATTAATTACAACATTCACAAAAAACCACATAGGGTTTAAACTAGGAATGCGTTAATAATAATTGATGGATTTTACTTCACTGTAATGTTTCATCGTTGTATTCACTAATCCATTATGGATCATTCATAATCTTATTTAAAATTCGCTCAGTATAGCGTCAAATATAGGTACTAATATCTTGTTTTTACAAATTATGTAGACATATAATTCAAATGTAATGATTAAGGCGTTTAAACAAATTTGGGAAGCTGCCAAACTGTATCTACAGGTTAATAATTAATTTAATATATATATAAGCATAAGCATTAAGTATAACTGATGAAACTTTTGCAATCAAGACCGGTCAAGGTATTTTTGGTCAAAACTTTAGAGATTTCCTCTGTTTTTCGGAAGGCACGTTAAACCATTGGTGCCAACTGCGTCAGCAGTTGTAAGCACTTAGTACCTGCCAATCCGTAGAGGCCTGCGTGGGTCACGGGCGTCACGGCCTGTTACTCCTATTCCATCTGGTAAAGCCCTGGGCCGCAGGAGTCGCGAGATAATTAAGTAAACTTCATGATAATTGACTATTATTAATGCGAATTTGAATGTTTGTCACTCAGTCAAGCAAAAACGGCAAAATATCTAAAAATGAAATTAAAGACACAGAGCACTTGATGTTGATAACATTACAATGAGCAATTAACACACAGTTATGATACTTTTTATACTGGAAATGTGTTAAAACCCAATGGGTCTTGGAAACTTGGAACACTACAGATTGTGGATGTAACAACTTGAAATTTTATATTCGTACTTAGATATATTTTGTGTAACATTGCTTTGGGGTTAAAAGTTCATATCCTTCGTCTTAAGTCTCGGTTATAGCACTGCAGTTAATTCCAAGTGAACTCAGGTAAAGACGCTATCAGATTGTACAATGTCGTAGAATGATTTGATAAATAGAATTTTCGCAAAAATCCTAGAGATTTTGCGAAAACGCGGATAGTTCGACAATGGCGATAACATTCCTCAATTTTCCTGATAAAGTGTAGGATTTTTGTCGCCTCACTAAGATAGTGAAAAGATTCGTTTACTTATTATATTCTTGGGTTTTTGGATTCACAATAGGTTACGTTAGTGTTGTGACCATGATGAGACAGCGAAGCGAGCGTGACGCAACAATAATCTGCGCGAAGCGCAAGAAAAGAAATTGATTCACAGTAAAATTGAGTGATTTCATCGCCATTGATCCCATCCCTAGGATTTTAGTAAAAAATCGATTTATCATAATTATTATCCTACGACATATATAATAAAAGTTAGTCCCGAAATCCCTTGGCATCATACCTTGAGAACGACCACCTATTTCATCCATCTTTGTTTTTAAGTTTTCAAAACTTAGAATTTCGAAATGAAAGCTGAAAAGTACTAGAATTAATCGATATTTTTCTATAGAAAATATATGCCTTAATACCGATTACAGAATCCAACAGTCAACAAAAGGATAGGCGGCCGCCAAGAGAGAAAAAACCGCAGTCGGTGCAGGACCTCCTCAATACGACTTCGTGTATACCACCGCCTTACCGATGTCCGCATCCGAAGATGCAGTTTTATTTATACACAAGGTAAGTATAATAATAACTTTATTTTCTCTCCACAATCTAATGCATGCTTCATTCATTAGATTCATTCATGATTGTGAGAGACTGGTGAGCAAACTTAGCTGACGCCTGTGTCTCAGTGCACCAGCCTCTCCCCGCTTTAAAAAGTGTTACATAAACAAAAAAAGGAGCAACGATAAATTTTAGTTTAGTTTAAAAAAAAGTATTGTATCAAGCAACGCATACAATTATCTATTCGACTTTCATGTTTGTAATATTTTGAGATCCTCAATAAGTGAGAACAGAAAATTCCTTATTATCATATATTATTTTATTAAAGTAAGCTGTTGATAAAGAATTAGAAAGAAAGAAAGAAAAAAAAAAGTATTATTTACTTTATGTCTTTTGACGACCTCTGTGGCCGAGTGGTATATACACCGCGTTTCAAGGTGTCACCTACTCAGAGGTCTCGGTTTCGAATCCGGTGGGGCAAATGTTAGTATGTTGAATACGAGCATTTGCACTTATGTTAAGGAAGTTTATAAAAGATGTATTCCTAGATTAATATATAGTATCCCACATGCCTTACAATGCTTACTTTGGGGCTAGGGTAATTGGTGTGAATGTTACGATAAGTCGTTGGTGTTGTGGTGAGTTTTATTATTAATGAGAGAAATGTATACAAACTATTATGTTTTCCCTTAGGACTACGCAAGAGAAAGGTGAGCTCCTCAACACACTGGACAGCGATTCCCTGACCTACTCCAAATTCAACCCGATTCATCCGACGAAGATCGTAGTGCACGGATTTGGTGGGGGAAGAAATCTTTCTCCTAGCACAGATATGAGAAATGCATATTTCAAGAAAGGGAATTATAACATTATCATTGTGGATTATGGTAGCCTGGTTAAGGAACCTTGTCTCAGTCAGGTGAACCGTTTTTCTTTAATATAGTAATTTAGTCAGTTATTGACATTTTAAATTATAGCTTTAGATTATTATCATTTATTTATTCACCAGGCAGTTTTATATATAGATTTATTGTCGCATTTGTCCCAGCGAACTTCGTACCGCCATAAAAAAATAGGGGTTGGTGGTTTAACGGTCAAAGAGGTTGTATGTACTTTGTATGATGTATCATAAAAAATAAAAACAAAAAAAATGCCCAAAAAAAATTTAAGGGTGGACTGTCGCATTTGTCCCAGCGAACTTCGTACCGCCATAAAAAAATAGGGGTTGGTGGTACAATGGTGAAAAACAAAAAAATTGTCCAAAAAAAAAATTAAGGGTGGAACTAATACCCTTAACATTTAGGGGGATGAAAAATAAATGTTGTCCGATTCTCAGACCTACCGAATATGCATATAAAATTTCACGAAAATCGGTCGAGCCGTTTCGGAATAGTTCAATTACGCAAAACGAGACACCAGAATTTAATATAGATATTAGATTTGCCTACACGCTTAGAATAATAACCCACATAATCTATCAGTTTTTTTTATTACCCATTTTTAAATGTGTTTTTTCAATTAATCATTTTGGCGAGGCGTACCCTTTTTGATTTAATCTAGGGGCGCACGAAAATAATGGATTTGAAAGTGGGCGGGTAGAAAAAATAACTTTCAGAACTTCTAGTGTAGTGGCTTAGTGATCATGTAAGGCGAACCACACATAAGACATACAATTGTATTACAATAATTGTGGCGCTACATTTGAAACGCGACACACTTAAGTTCTTTTATGATTTTTTTTTGTAAGTTTGTATATGACTTTTTATTGAGTATGCCTTGAATAAAAAAATATTATTATTAACGCCCTCATATATCTGGTATCTGGTGTAAGCACGCACATCTAAGACACATTGTAGCGGGTGCATTTAGTAGCGAGACGAAAGCAAAAATGTAGAGTGCGTATTGTGGCACATATGTGTAGCTATACATTCCATTTTGAATTTTTAAATTTCATTCACTCTAACTCAAGTTCGAGGTTTTCATGTTTTTAACGCCCCGGGAGCTACATAAATAAAACATGTGATTTGAAAACATTCTTGGATTCACAATAAAAAAATGTGCGTCGCTGACATAATGTCCATAATGAAAACAAAATAAAACGAAATGATACTCTTCGCAAGGAAGATACTATATTTAGAAATGTCATTAGATAGAAAATATTTGTATTTATAACGTTTCAACACTTTTTTCGTCTGCAGATTTCAAACCACATTTCGAAGAAATGGGTCCCAAATCATCTTCAGCACTTGACTTTACTTTATTTATTTGTTTTTATTTATTTTTATTTATTTAAACATAAGCAATCGACGGACTTAATGCCATAGACATTCTCTACCAGTCCACCAGTATAATTGTTGGAGACAAATAGTATAGCGATAGGGCAAAGTTGCTAAAAATTAAATAAAATGAACATTAACATAATAACAATAATAAAATAATATAACCGTTATGTTATATGAGTATTTTATATATGTGCATCAATTTGTTATGTGATAGGACTGTGAATCTTTATGAGGTACTATAACCGTAACATTTTATGCTCTTCCAACTTTCTTGAGAGACAGTTTTGTTACGCAGTTCCACTATTATCAAGTTCAATGACAATGCGTCACGATTCAGTTGTCATAGCATTCTGTGGAGATTGATTGATTGTAGTTTGATAATCATGTAAATTGGCGAACCACTTGTTGTGAATTTTACTTTCACTTTTTAAAAGAGAAAAAAATCTCATTTTTTCTTATTTAAATACACTACTCAGGTCGTAGATAGTACGTACAGAAAATGTTTTTCTCTATATAAAACTGACTGGTGCATAAATAAATGATAATTATTGACAAAGAACATTATAATTTGCCAATACAATGCATGAATGCCTCAATAGGCAGCAATAAAGGCTAAATAGTTATTATATAACCTACACACACTCCTAATAGTAGATTGTTTATTAGGGCAGCATATACCTATTTCAAATGTGAGTGTGTTTTTTGAAACCACAGCGAGCTATTTATATTTATAGCGGATTCTACATTAACCACTATTTAAGTTCCTGTTAACGCAAAACAAACTAGTTAGGTCTTTTCGAATAGATGTGATATAAATAGTGTTTGGTATTGGTTTGAATTTCAGAATATGAAAAAAAAAATACATTCTAGGTATTTTAAAGTTATTATATATAAAAAAATATCCTGTTGTGGTTATATTATTAAATAAAATTATGAATAAAAAATGGGATAAATATTATAGTACTATTCAACTAAAAATGGACACAACGAATGTCATAATGAAAAGGCCTATAAGAATAATACAAATAAATATATTAGCAGTCTACTCATGGCACCTGCCGTTGGAATTGCATGTACTTACGAGTAATAGGTAGTTTAACATAATAGCGTAGCGTAACCTAAGTTCATTCTCTACTATTAAAGTTCTCAACTTTGATATAAAATAATTAGTTCCGTGATCACCTCCCCATCACTCTATATAAGTAAGCATAATTGTTTTATATTTACTTAACACTTTTGAAGGTAATTATGGCCCAGTATACAGGCGAAGAACCGGCACAAGAAAGCTACAAGATTGGTACAAGATAAGGGACAAAAAAATAGTAAGATGGGTACCAGATGAGAATGCAGTGTAAGCCGGCACGCATTGCGCTAGCTCACATTGAACTCACGTCTTCCATTTATAATATGAAAATATTTTACAGAAAAAAAATGTATAGAGCAACACGGATCGCGTCCGTGTTTTTTTTCCTCTCTTGTTGGTGAAACATAAAGATAATTTTAACCTTTTTTATATTTATTAAATAGAAATTTTATTGAAACGAACACAAGCACAGAAATAATATTGATTTATTTCTATGAACACGAGCAACTTTCGTTATCTGACATGAACATAAGTATCTATGGAATTCGTTTGCGTGGTTCAATTGATTTCCCATACAAACTTCCACTCCCCTTCTCACCCCCTTAAAGGATGATTTCTGGGATAAAAACTATCCTATGTCCTTATCCGGGAATCAAACTATACCAAATTATATCTACATCGGTTCAACGGTTTAAGCGTAAAGAGTTAACAGATAGACAGACACACTTTCGCAATTTATACTATAAGTATGGATATTGAGTAAATTAAATTGTGTTCAACATTTCAGATCGAATGGGCTCCTCGTTTCGCAGGCTTGTGTATAGCTCAGTTGGTGGATTACCTGCGCCGTCACCCGATCAAGCCCGTGGCACCGGAGTACCTCCACACCATCGGGTACAGTGTGGGCGCACACATACTCGGCCTCGTCGCAAACAATATCAGGGACGCAAAATTAGGGAGAATCACGGGTCAGCATTAACTTCATATTAATCGAGCATTATCCACGTTCACATGGCATTCTTGTTTACCGTATACGACGTTTTATCGAATGTAGTAGTGGCTATATAAAAGCATTTTGTGTTCACACGGAGTTAATGCAAAAATATCCAGTGTTCGAGGCATATTCGTTCCCGCAGTCCATGGCTCTCGTATACCGTCCGAAGTCATCAACGCCACATCTCGAAGACATTTTATCGAATATGTCATGCTGTGGCGTTTAAGTTCATGTTATATCGGTCGCACGAAGAAGAAGAATATGTGGGTGGATTCACGTTTGCGCGCATTTCACAAATGCCTGTGAAACGTAACGTTAACATCGCATGGAATTGATCGTCCTGTGAACAACTCTCATATACGGGAAAATATAATACATAATAAAATCTTATCATTTAGTCATCGTCTGAACGTAGCCTATCTATCTCATGCTGATAAACCGTCACCCCGTATAATCGTCATCGTCAGCCTATGAACTTCCCCACTGCTGCACAGACCTTCATAAGGATCGGAGAGGGAAAACAGGCCACGAACCGCCACGTGGGCCCAGAGCTGTGTGGTAGGTATGCGATGACACATTTTTGCGATTGACACCATCGAGCTCCTCAATACGGCATAATTTTAAATTAAAAAATCGGGACATACCTGCACAATACAATGAGCGCAAATCAAGATTGTAAAAATATACATAAATTTTGACGTGGCTCATATCAGTTTCAGAGTAGAATAGAGAAACTTACAAAAGTTGCACAATGCTGCCTCACTCAATGTTGCATATTAGTTGTCATCGTTTTCAAGCAAGCCTAAAGAAGCCAAGCCTTGCAAGAAGACTGATAACCTACCTTATCAGTCTTCTTACTTAACCATTTACTTGCTTCAAATGGCCTGGGACATCGAATTTCATGGAGTAGCATTCGAAGATGAAAACATTCGTAGAATCGTGAATTAGTCCAAACATAATATGCTGGTACTTCGTAATTATAAGTGTTTTTGCAAAATCATCAGTACGACACAACTCAAAGAACGCAAGAAGTGTAGATTTTGATGGGTATGTATGTAAGTTTATCTGCGAGGTTTTACTGATTAAAATATATTTTTTGGACATTTTTCAGATGAACCCCAAGATTAAACACGGTGGTGGAAGCGTTCATGAATCGGAAATACAAGAATTCGCCAAACCGCCTCTGAACTACTTATCCCACTTTCGTAAATCTTGACTTCATCTTTTCCATTTTCTAAAGCAAAACTGGCCTGGTCGGGTCATTTATTTATGTATTTGCAAACGTATTTTATTGATTTAACAAAGTGAAAGAATTTGACTTTTATATGTGCGTTAAATGTTCTCAAAAGAACTGGATTATATGAACCCAGCGGTTGTCAATCTCTACTCCATTAATGTCAAAAGTAAAGTCACCTTTGTCTGGAGAACGTCTTCTATATTGCGGGTAGCTGCCGTCTGCTGTAGTAGAGGCCTGGAATGCCTCTTATGCATTTTTTGGTTTTTATAAAAGGTCACTTATAATTAAAACTTCCGCATGGCCCATGTATAGTATTCGACTTTACTATTTCAAAACGCGAGTTAATATTCATCCATATAAAACTTCGACACCCTCAATCCCCTTTTTAGGGAGTAGTGTAGGAAAATGAAAATGATAAACTTTATAATTGATTAACAATATGGGTATCAAATATAAGGATTTGTCGAGAATATGAGGTGTTTGAAATCCTCGATCCATATCCAGCGATAACTAAAAAGTAAAAAATAATCTAAAATTAAAAAACTTAAAAAAGGTCCTTTATTAAATGCGTTAAAAGAATAAAATAAAATAAAAAATCGAAGAGGTAACTTATCAAAAGTTTTATTTAAATTTCGAATTGACTTGCAAATAAAAGCTCTTTATTGAAAAAAAAACAAATGAATTTGTGTTGTTGTTCATTGTTTGTCATTTTTGAATCAATCTTATTAAATTATATTTCAACGTAATAAGTTCAGCCTAGATACAACTATTTATATTTAATTTCCGTGCATTATTTGAGAAAAGTACTATACAAGCCTTGGGCACAACTTGGCATTGATGGACTTACACATTTATACGTTCGTCCATTAATCCTCTTTTGCTGGCCGCTGCTGTAAGGTACTAATTCTGCTTGTTTAGGTCTCGATCCTACGATTCTATTCTATATGGGCAACAATCGATCTCGGGACCTGGACTACACTGATGCGCTGTTCGTGGACGTCCTCCACACGGGTGCGGGCATACTGGGCCAGTGGGGACCCAACGGCCACGCCGACTTCTACGTCAACGGGGGCTCCAGCCAACCGGGATGCGCGCATGATACCATATTTCGTAAGAAATACATAACTATACTCTTATATAATTTTTTTAGTAAAAAAAACTCGGTCAGGATTTCAGGCACGACTTGAACCTGCGTCTTCCGCTGTCCGAGCGGATGCACTTACAACTATGCTTCAAGAACTTTATTTTATTTAAATAGTCCGTCAGACGACACTAAATCACCTGTACCCTTAGCACGACCCAATATAAATAATATATAGTTAAATTCGATCTCGATACGCGTCAAATGTCAAGAAGTTTTGTATGGGAATTTGAACAGCGCCACAACGGACATGACGAGAATTAAAAATCTTCCATACAAAATTTCTTGATTTTTGACGCGTTTCGAGATCAAATTCAACTATTTATAGTCGATATTGGTAGCCCTTCGGCCGTTTTCAAAAACTGAAAAATATTTCTTTTTTCGAAACCGGTTGCCAAATAAGAAAAATGTTTGTTTTCTTTTCAAAATCTGTTTTTGATGTAAGGATGGCATTGTCAAAATAACCCATGAAATTGGACACTACGACTCAGAAAGATAAATAAATAAATCATTAGGATGTAATAACTGTTATTAACTTAATCGAACTCTTAGCATTTTTTTTCTACCAGTGCTTGGTCCCTTTTCAGAGCTTTGTTTGCACCAACGCCATCTAACTTAATTTTACTGAACTTTTTGTTCACACCAGTGAAAAAAGAACATGATAACTTTACGGTAGATGGAAAGATAGCGGCACTTGTAGATTCTTTAAATACTTCAATTGAGTGAAGGAAATTGATTTGAATTAAAATAAAAATGTACCATCAACTCAATCAATAAAAAATATTGATTGACTGACTCTAGAGTACCTGAAAAACGAATATTTTAAAGATATCAGCAGGCGTAAGTCTAATGTTAGAAGATTATTGAAAATACAAAAGGTGTTAATTTTTTTATCTTTTTATTCCAGAAACTCTATCGTGTGACCATACAAAGGTGACCCCATACTTTATAGAGTCGATCAATAGCAGAGAAGGTTTCTGGGCAGGACCCTGTCCAAGCCTATTCTCTTACTTAATAGGCTGGTGCGAACCCAAGGACTCCGAATATGTTCAGATGGGAGAGCATGTCACTCGCAAGTAAGTTACTACGATTTTCGTCAAAGAAACAATTTGCAACTGACCAATAAGTGCGTATCCTAAAATGCATTAATTACCTATACAAAAACTTCTCAAATAGTCAAAAGAATATAAAATCAATAATAAGTAAGTACTTGAAATATAGTTTAATATAAATAATTTATTTCAGGGCAAGAGGCGTGTATTACGTAACGACAAACGCAAAGCCACCATACGCGAGAGGGTTTCCCGGCAAATCTAGACGGTTGCGTTCAATATCACCCTATAGTTGATTGATTGATGTCTGAGGTTTAGAACTCACGGCGCAATTTTCTCCCGCAAATCACGTGGATTGTCAATTGTAGGTAAATCATAAAAGCAAAGCTCACGGCGCGATTTGCGCCCGCAGAGCGCGCGAGAAGCGATCACCCGCAGACGTGGCGGGGCTGACCCGCACAATGCAATTTTTATACGGGTGACCAAAAGGCGCGTTCAGTACCCTTAGGAAGGAAACTTGACCAGCAGCGCCACAATGGACGCAACGAGAACTAAAAATCAGTACACATTTGACAATGACATTTCGCACTCGCAAACGATTCGAATTCGATATTGGTTCATGCTAAGGGTACTGAATCCAATGTCTGCAGGATCTTAGTCGCGGCGGCTGCGGTCTCGTGAGATTTGAAATAAAACAGCTTTGCTGCTGCCACGGCGGGCGCGGCATAAAATCGCGTCGTGAGTTCCAAGCCTTAATGATTGTTATAAGTAGTGTATTATTTAATTACGAAATTTCTTAAGCCTCCGAATTAAATTATCAATCCTAAAAAACTTTGATATACGCTGTTAGGTCTCAAAACCGTCGCAGCTTTACCGTGTCAACGTGCCAGTCGAGAAGTTATACAAAAGAGAAGTTTCTGAGCGATGAGCATCTTCAATCTCAGAATAATAATTATTATTATTCTGAAATTTTAAATGTTTGTGGGGGTTAAGCTATTCTTATCTTAATTTTAGGTATTATATTGAGACAGAAACTTGTTCCAATTTTTGATGAAAGTTATTATAGTGAAGTTTTGGTAAATACTTTTGAAAGGAAGTTTGTTACCCTTAAAATAGTGGAAAAAGTAAACATTTATTGTTACCACATATATATCTATATATACTATAACACTATCATATATATATATATATATTTCTGTTGAAGAGATTTCTCTAACATTAGTTACCATTATTAAAATGTGAGTTAGTAATAAGCTTTATTAACATTAATTGGAAGGTGATTTATTTTAATTTATTATAATTTATGAAAATGTGTGATATTCATTTGTAAATTAGCATAGTCAATACTTTTACTGCCAAGTAGTTTTTTTATTGTAACGTGTAGATAGGTAACTGGTAGAAATTGCTTTAAACTAAAAGTTATTGTTTTACATCTAACAGAACGTTTTTACAACGATCAAATTTGATATAGATAATATAAGCTACTGCGTACTATTATCAGGTATACGTATTACGTTGTGTTAAATGTTAGGTAAGGTACCTACCACTTAATAAAATAATAATTTAAACCGAATTAATTTCTTTTAATTTTTGTTAATATTCCCATGTCAAAAGTAATGTAAATCACAGCCATGCAGCCTGGGTGGCTTTGGTTCTAAAATGGTTTGGTTATAAAATTAAAGTTCGAACCTTGAATTAAGTACGGTCCTTCAGTTGCACATACTTTAAGTATCATTTTCCACAAACTCTTTTAACGTGTCAAATTATCGTCAGTCAAGCTATCGTTCGTCTATAGACACGCAGCCCGCTAATTCATTATAAATAAAAAAATAATATTTCCAACACTCGCACCAACTAGCCTTGTCCCAAAGCACTATAAGGCTTGTGTAGATAAGAATACATATATAAGTTTATACATATAGAAATATATATATATATATATATATATATATATATATATATATATATATATATATATATAAAACATCCCATCCCATGACTGAAGTACAAATGCTCGTATTTTTTACACAAACATCGACCCCCACCGGGACTCGAACCCGGGACCTCTCGAGTCGGCGACACCATGAAACCCGGCGTACAAACCACTCGGCCACGGAGGTCGCCATGTTACGTTTTTTTGACTGAAGATAACTGGCTAACCCAAAGGAACGGAGAATAAGGAAGGAGAAAAGTGTTGTGCTCCAGCAACTCTCACCTTGCCTGAACCCAATTCCCATCCCCGTGGAGACCTTGCCGACTAAAAGAAACAAAACGCCATCAAAAACGGTAGCGTTGATTTACAGTGGTTACTTCTGTAAGGTGGTCACCTCCTTAGGCGGTCTTATTTCAGCGAAATATCCGTTGTGCCCCACCGCTCATAAAGTATTATTACTATTTAGTAAAATTTTCATTAGATTCACGTGGAAACGCATCGGATCAGCGCGTGTAAATTTTTTAGAATAGCCCCACAGATGTTAACAGTTACCTGTGGAATCAACAGGCTGTGTCTAGGCGCCCAACTTCGACCATTCCGTTTTGGGACTATTGGCATTTAAAGCTACACCACGTTACGTAAATTTAAATGTAATAACTTTATCTAAGTAGTAAAAACTTGACACGTCAGTCCATTAGCACATCTTTAGATGAGAGATCTTTCGATATTATAAGCAGCTGTACCATAATTGTTTTGTGCAACCTGAATGTAGTTAAGTATTTAAATGATTCGATTGGTCACGTATTAGGAGATAAAAAAATACCACCAGTATTAATTTCAAACATCCATATATTAGGGAAGTTAATGTCACCATCCCAAAACAGACACTATAGATATCGACAAGGTGTAGAACAGTAAACTGCTGTATACAAATATATAGACATCAAGAAATAAGTTAACAAGATTTCCAAACATCGAATCTAAACATGCTTGAAGAAATCCGAAAAATCAATTGTCTGTGAATCTTTACTAAATATTCCAATAAAATGACACGCTAATTATATATTACATTCGTTTCTATTTTAACAATGAATAATAATATTGCACAGAGAGAATTTTGATAAATATTTTTTTAATACGAAAGCAAAACAGGAATAGGTCTAAATATCTAACCTACTCAATAACATACCTATACATTGTGTTATATTATTTTTTGTTCAGGTCTGATATTCCATATGCACACTATTTCGAAGAAATACAACACTATAAAGTACGATTATATCATTTCATTTTATTATATTGCACACAAATCTTATAATATGTATAAAGTTAATATTATCAACATATAAATAATGCTAGAAAATTGTGTGGTAAGTATTTACAATTCGTATAAAAGTCGTTGTCAAAACAAATGAATTTTACACGTCATTTCCCTTCCTATATAACTAACTATAGTTGAGTAAGTTTCTTCTTACTTTTTTCAATATTTTCCATAGATACAGATACATTCTTATAATACAGGGTTTCCATAATTTTGACCAAAAATTTATAAAATCAATTATAATGAGACTTTAAGCACATGAGTTTTCTTAACACAATAGATAATTCACAAAAAAAAACATTTCCATATTGTATAACTTTATAAATGGCATGCCTAAAGCTAATTCTAATTACAGATAATTAGCTTATTATTTACTTAGAGCAAGTTTACTATTAAAAGTATAATACGACTCCATTATATGAAATCGTGTCAATTTACAAGAGACTATGTCCGCCTGATTTGCGTACGAATAATGTTAAATATTCGCGATAAGAAAAGTGATAAAAGCGACAGTATTTAAAAAATACTTTAATATCTGGAACTAAATAAATAATTATTAAATGCAAAGCTTATGATCGAGAGGTAAGCAATAAAATATCTAAACAAAACAAATAGTTGTCTAATGAAATTGATGTACTGTAAAATAAATAAGCAAATGTAAACAAAAATATGTAAAAGCATTACAAATTATTTACATCGACGACATCATGTCTTAAAAATCAATCCTTAATTATGAGTCTAATCAGTAATTGACAAATCAGTGCTCTTGTGCAAGTAATATGCGATGTACAAGGTTCTATATTTACAATTAAACCATACAATTTTGAGCTTGCACTTTAGAAACTGAGTATAAAATACATGAATGATTCTATAAACCGTTAAAATCTTACTAATTTTAATTAAGTAGTTAAGTACTTGTTAGTTTGTTTCGATGGAATTGTCATGCCATCCGACAAAAAGCTCCTAAACAAAAAGAATAAACATCCATGACGCACAATATTTATTTCTTATATTTGTTTCTTAGGTCAAGTCTTAGGTTGTCAAAAAGTAAATTAAAAATCATTCTGACGAGGCGAGACGAGACCTGAAAGGCTGCGAAACGTCAATAAATAAATAAAGTACGTGCATTAACCTGTTAAAACTAGTTTTATTTATTTCTTATGTTTGAACGCACGCAAAATTGTTTTATTTAATGACCCAGAAACAAATATCAGTGATTATCACATGGATAAATGCCTGAAACGGGATCTGAATCAAGGACCTTAATGCAGAAGGCAGAAGCTCTGTCGTTGCACCACATAGAATCGAAAATACTGGAAATAAATAAGTTAATGTTGTGTTTAACTGAGACACTAAGTTTAAAATATATATTTAGATTTTATATACGACTTCAAATAAAGTCTACAAAAATTAATTATTGAATGGTATAAAATGTTTTAGCAACATTGGCCTACAAATTGTAAATATTTAACCTTATAAATCGGGAAATATTTATTCTTAAAAATGCTCACTACAGCTATTTACACTTTCATTTATATTTACAGAGAATCATCAAATAAGAAATCCTAAACATTACCCAAGATAACTAATCCAATTACTATGGTTTTAAAGCAAAATAAATAACACACAAGTTCGTGAGAAAGCAAAATAGATAAAGGACATTTTGAAATAATTATCAATAGAACCACAAGGACGTGAAAGACTTAAATGTTTATTCAGTACTTCCTTATTCGATTATAAAATTATAACAATGCTTGAGTTAGGCTTAGAACGCACTGCGGTTTCAGACATGCGTTTATCGCAAGTCTGAAACCGCAAAAAAATGTAACACAAAGCTTTATATACAAGCGCACGCATTAGCGGCTTTTTTCAGTGACTGATTTTAAAAACGCAAGACTGATTATAAAAAACGTAACTTGCTATATTTGGATCGCGGTTTGTAAACGCGCATTTTTTGTGCCCCATAGTAATAGTATGGTGGCGCACGCACGGCGGTTAACAGCATTCGGTTGTCGGTATGTCGGAGATACCGACCCACAATTTGCAATAATTTATCAAAAGTACCAATCGACATTCTGTAGCAGTTAAAAAAATTAACTGGATGCTGTCGCACGTCGTTGTACATTTTGCAAAAGTATCCTTTCAAATGTATTTGATCTGTTAATGGGTGTACCCAGTACTTATGGCGGCGACGTTGTTTACGTTTTCTATTTTTTAAAACCAAAGCTACAACATACGCTGCTTGCCAGAAATCCATGGTCATACTGAAATAAAATTAAGTTAAACGCCAGCCGCAGTGCGTGGTTGTATGCGGTTATGCGTTTCCAACTATTCCTCAATCGCTCCCGGTTAATCGCAGTGCGTTCTAAGCCTTACTGCTTAATTAAAATATTTTTAGTAGCTACATTATTATGATCCCAAAGTAAGATTATTGACACAAACGAGTTTGAATGAAAGTATCACAAGCAAACAGACACGAAACAAGATATAAATACTTCCTGACACATCTATCGGCCCACTTAGTGTTGTGAGCTTTAATAGTCTGTAGCAAAAATATATGTTTCTGGTCGTGTAATAATTTTAAAAACACACAAAAAGATGGTCTATAAATCAGTTTCAAAACTGCATGGGAAATAATTGTTTGCTAAATGTATTGTTATTTTTTGCTAGGGACCGTCATAGCTGAAAGTGCTAGGTGGGCCGATACATGTGTCCGGAAGTGTATTATCTTATTTACTGAACAGCGTTGCCATTGATACGGCAATTACCGTAATATACGGCAATTTGAGCTCATAATTTCAGATTATACGGCATACGGAAGGTTTGTCATTGCCGTATAATAATACCTTAATATTATAGGTACTTATACCTATAAATTTTAATAAATAAAGTTAGGTAATACGACAGAATCATGATTTTTATTTAAAAATACGGCAATCTGATGTATCGAATACGGCATCTCTATCAAACTTGATGGCAATACTGTTACTGAATCGGATAACGAAAAAATTTGTTTGTGTGTTTATAAATAGATCATTCAAATACAGTTTATATCATATTTATTTGAAAAATATTGAGGCTATTGATTTTATGTAAAGCATGAATCGCTTTGCTCAAATTTTTTGCTTGTTCCATCTCTGGTGTCTTTTTATGAGGTGAAAGGAGAGTTAAACACATATCTTTGTTCTACAATCAAACAGGTATTTGCAACGATATAAAGATGCTTTGTTAAACTTAAAAACTTTAGGTTTATGAAGCTTTTAAGAGCTTCCTAATCATGATGTTAGATGATTATATTGAAAAACTGTTTCTCTTAGGA